TTTTTTGCGTGTTCGAGTCCAGCAATGTCGTCCCATGTAATATTCAGGGTTCGATCCATTATCTGGAATGTTGTGACATTCATAAGGTTGTTTACATATGTACGTCCGTGACGGATAAGTCCATACAATACCTCGTTTTGGATTAATTCTATCATCTTTGGTTCGATGTTCTTTAATCTTTCATCTATTTCCTCCTCAGTATCCTCATTCCTTTTAGAAACCAAAGTGTTGTAACTTGCAACAGTAGCGAAAATAATAATTCTTAGTTGAATCATTTAATTAATCACAGGACGCAAAAATTCAATACATACGAATAATCTTTTCTGCTATACTTTGAACCGTCTCCACGATTTTCTTTGCGTTTTAGCAATGGTGAAACGAATTTTCCTTTTCTGATGGACTGATTCATTGATCCCAGAATTCTCTTTTTAGACAGTCCCGGCGTGGACAGCTTGTCACCTAGACATCGTCTGTTGGATGATGACGATGACGGTGATGGTAAGCGGTGACCTTTCTTTTACGAGATAAATTGCAATGTTAATATAAGTATTATCGTAAGAAAGGAAAGCGAATAGATTTTTGTAACTTGTAAATATTGATGCTTCGCGCTAACGAAAGAACCGCGCTGAATTGATTCATCATCGTCGTCATCCATACGCGTCACGTCCATTTGAACCGAGATGTTCTTTTCATTATTGGGATCGTTTCGCGCTTCCTATCATCGTCAAAGTTGAGCGAATTAAGCGGTAGAAGATTTTAATGTTACCACAACGTGAATACTCACTCTTCCAGAAATCGAAAAACTGCAAGATGGTTCTTCATCATAAACGTTGCGAGGATCATCATTGATATCCATTGCATCTTCGAAACCATCTTTATTAATATCGAAATATTGTGGAGTTGGTTTTTCATATTTATTAAGAGTTTCGAAATTCGCCTTTGATGGGTTCCCGACAGGCCGGGAGGAAGAAGATGGAGATGCATTGGTTTCCTTTTGTGTTGCCAAGTCTTTTACGCAATTCATCAGTAGGCTCAGGTCGGGCGGTTCCATAATGTCATAATCTTTGTCA